GAGGTAAATTTTTGCAGCCGGAGCTGGTTGTAACCCGAAAAGTTCATTAGTAGAGGCGTTCGTATTCCGAGGGACCACTGTAATTGAGTTACTTTTGTGATGGCTGATAGTATGATCAACCCAACAAATGACAAGTTAGAAAAATGTTTTGAATGAGGAACAATGGCACTAGGTGTTTATCTTATTCTGTCAGTCCAGTTCAAGGGCTTGATGGTTTAATTGGTCTTCAATCTATTAGCTCCCCTAAGTCTATAATTTTTCCTTGTGATTGTCCCCACTTATAGATTTCCTATATCTAGCCAAACAAGCAAAATCCAGTTCTCAAATGGAGATTATAGCTGATAGTCTGTTGAAACTATTTCTAAGAATAAATACATTCAATTCTCAATGTTTATTTATTTAATCATTTCAATTTATATACTCTCTCTAAACAGGATGTTGTTCCCCTAGCTGAAAAATTGAACTCTGGCCAGTTTGGTGTAGTGGTTAAAGGCACTGGACTAGGAACAAGGAAACTGGAGTTTTAGTCCCACTTCAGGCACAAAGCCAGCTGGGTCACTTTGGATCGGTCATTTCCTCTCAGCAATAGAAAGAAAGTCATGGAAACCACATCTGAAAATGTGGCCAAGAAAGCTGCAAGAGTCAAGATCGATTTGGAGAACTATAATGCATGGCCAATAAGACAAGAAACAAAATAAAAAGTAAACACATAAATAAATACAGATTTCTATATCCTTCCCATTGTAACAAATCTCAAAGCAGTTTATCAAAAATATAAGCCACAGATTAAAATGTTTATTTATTTTTAAGATTTATAAGGCCATCAGACTCAAACAATGTGATTCTGGGCAGTGCCCAGCAAACAATAAATCAAAGAAGAAAACCCCCCACCATATAACAATGAGCAAATACAAAATATAAAATGGCAACCAGCACATAACAGAACAACCAAAGGAGGACTCTCACTCAAAATATAAAATAGAATAAAAAATGACATATGCAGCTTAGAAAGTGGGGGGAAAGCCACGTATGTACCATGGTGATACAAGGAAAGCCTGCGTAAAAAGTGTTCCTTAAAAGGCACCTACGGTAACAGATATATTTGCAGCCAGTTCACGAATTTCAGGGGGGAGGGCCTTCCACAGTGAAGTACCAGCACTGAGAAAGTCTGCCTAAGAGTAACTGCAAGATCACCTTCTGCAGTTCTGGGCTAATACTAAAGTGGAGACCTGTCTCTGGTTAAATATATGTGTTTATTAGTTAAGCTGATCCTTTTTGCCAAAAGGTTGACTTGTCTTCAACTTCAACTTAAATTGGAAAAGATCACTTTATCAGCAGTTGAATTATATTTCTCTGGCAGTGCCCTTCTGATGTTGGATTTCAAGAATGCAGAAAAAACACTCAAGCAACCAGTATTAGATATGGAAGATCAAATGGAACAGTCCTCCCTGCTTAGAGATTGTCTTTGGGAATAATCAGTTTGTATACCTAAGAATACCCTCATACTTTTTCAAATCACTATTCCAGGATTCAGAAGGAGCTTATGCTTAGCTCACTTTCACAGGCTCCCAATGGCAGTTGTGGAGGGGTCATTTAAAAAAATATTTTATGCAGCTCAGTTTGCCCTTTGAAACATAACCCTTGTTGTTTTATATTGTTAATTTTACAGGGATATCAACTTTCATCTCATAACCCTTGAATAACAACATTCTCAAGCCACCCAGATTGTATTTAAATTATTTATTTTCCATTAGAAATATATCCATTTCTCTAAACAACACATTTTGCTTTGTAAAATTTGGCAAGAATTATTGGATTTCTGTCAAAGTATATGCTGTCTAACTGCTCTATTGTCTATTCTGCAGCTGCAGACTCTATTCTCTCACGCACTTTACCCCCCAAAATTATATTTCCAGATTAGTATGGAAATAATTTAGTGTTTTGGCCTCTAAATCAATTACTTCATGCTATCTGAACACATGTGTTCCATGCCTGTTGAACTGTAATTATTAGGTAATGCATGTTAATGTAAAACTTATAGTTCAGTGTGTAGTTATTCCTATTCCTGAATAAATATCTGGAGATGTTTCCAAGGATATAGAAAGTGTAAAGAGGAATTCTTGGTGGCTGCCTCAGAGCTGTTAGATCAAGAAACTCTCGTTTTGTCCAACTATTTCTGACCATGGATAAAACTGCATGAAGTAATTCTAGTTAACATTTAATTTAAATATATTAATCTTTGTGTAAATTAATTCCTGTTTGTTTACTGTTACGTTCCAGAGGGCTTATTAGCAGATAATGTAAGGAAGTTCATGGGATGCAAGTTTCTTCTTGCAGTCACCTTCCCCAGAGTCTTGCCAGACGATTGGGCATGACTCCTAAGCGATCTGGTAGGGAGTTGCTGGGGAGGAGTCAATGGGAAGTGTACCTGTTGTGAATTTTCTTAAGCTTAATTTACCTGAGAATCAAGCATGAATTGGGGCAATTTCACTCTCCCTGAACCGCCCTTGGGTTCCTTTCAGCATTGTTCAAGGATTCTACAACTGATTAGTAGCTCTGGAGGAGGAGAAATTACTCTGAAGGAGAAGTAGCTTCAGATAAGGGAAAGAAGTGGGGAGCATTCATTCTGTGAACACCTTAGTATCTGTGCCATAACACTTTATGTTTCAATTGGTATTTGAGTTTGAGACTTGTTTGTGTGTATCGAGAAAGAGAGGGAAGGGGGGAGAATTTTCTCTGAGCCTTCGCGTGTCATAATTTTGAAAACCCTGTAACTTAACCAAGTAATATTTATACTGATTTGAAACCAATATTCTTTGTACAGATAATTTCTGTTCTTTTTATAGGACATATTAACATTACACAATATTTACTCAACTATTATCCTGGCCTTGATATTGAGAAAAGGAATGCATTTGGATTTACTGCACTCATGAAATCTGCAATGCAAGGCCGAAGTGAATGTGCCAGAGCCTTAATATTGGCAGGTATACAGAATTCTTTTTTTCATTGTTTTCTTTCCCACTGAACTGTTGTAGATTATTCTCACTGAAGAACTCCAGATGCTGACATATACTTTCATAATATATTTGGCTGGCTATTATTAAATAATATGCAGTAAATACTGTACAGTAGAAGATTTGGTTCCAAAATCATATTCATTGAAACCAATGAAATTTAAGTTAATCATGACTCCATTGATTTCAGTGGTTCTACTATTACATCAATCTATTTTTCTTATTGCTGTTTTCTATCACTAAATTTCTTTAGATACACCTCAGTCAGAAAGCTAAATTAAGGAACATGTTTACTGTACATCATAAAGTCTAAAAGTAATACTCAAATAAGCATTTAACCATTTTCTGCAAACAGTTTATGAAAGTTGCAGTGAGAGTAGCCCCTTCTGTGAAAAACCCCCGTGCCAAATTTGGAGAGAGTTTTGTGCAAAGTAAAAGAATATATTCCTAAACAAGAATAGCTTGAAAATCACTGCACTAATTTCTAATAAAAATGATATGTTTTGTCTCCTCAAGAAGACAGTGTAGCCTTCTGGAAATTTCATCCTGTTCTGCTGAAAGTTAACAGCAACAACAAAGGAAGTAGCCGTTAGTACTTTTCCCTTGCTGATTTTGGGAAGGTAGAGTTTTATTTTACTAATTTTTGTTCAGAAACTGGGCACTAACTAGTATCAGAAAAGCTTTGCTTTATCTGGATTAGCTTGAGCTGTTTCGCAGTTGTGTAAATTTATAGACATTGGAAATCAAAGGCTGGCCGCTTGCATATGACTGGCTGTCTTTGATCATCTGTGCTGTCATACAAGCCATCCTCTTTTCCCACTGCTGGTGTTCCCCAGTTAGTTGTAATGATCACAGCAATGCTGAAAAAAAACTGTATAGGAATGTACTGATCCATCCCTTGGCAAATACATGAGGTGGCTACAGAGGTAGTGCCCTGTAGGTAGAGAGGACAGGAATACCAACCTATTTCACAGATTCTACAATGTTTCGCACAATTACATAATCCAATATAATGACTAAAGGATTGATCATAGGAAGAATTTCAGTTACAGCTAAACACCCTGCTGTTCTTGTAGAACTTGAAGCAGTAGAGCAGGAAATCAACTTCTCTAAAATGACCTTTTAAAAAACAATATAAAATAAAACAAAAATTAGGAAATGCTGTCTTTTCATTAAATTTGGATGTGCAACACTATTTAACATTATGTTTTTCTAAAGTTATTTGCTGACATTCACAAAGGCAAGAAATAGTGAAGGGAAAGTCATTGTATACAGTATGCCAGTTGCTTGTCTGCTATAGTGTGGTTTTAGATGTATCTTTTACTTGTTCTTATTATAGTCTGACACAGTCTTAAATGAACCTCTTAACCATTCATGAGATTAACCTAAATTCATAGACTTACCATCTGTTATAGTGAGGTTGTTAGCAAACATCCCTTCTGTTCCTTTGGTTATCTGTCTCTTTTTATTAGTGAATTTTGCTGGTTGTTCGGTTTGTTTTCTTTCCCACTGTATAGTGCTTTAAATAGAGAAAGGTCACAAATGCATTTTTTAACAATGAGGTTCATTGTAGCTTTAATTTTCATTCTCTGGATCATTCTTTATTTTGGTCTTTAACAACAATGTAGAATTCATATTGGAAGAAAGAGAGTGCGAGCAGGTCTCCCAGTCACTTAAATGCTATGCTGTTTTTGAAATGCTGTCCCTTCACTGCAAACTGCGTTTTCTTCCTGACAATTTCTTACCAAGTCAATTATTGTAGTTTACAATTAATTCAAATGCAGTGTGATATAAATAAAATGTTAGCTACGTGATGGCAGTTTTAACATAAATAAAAAACATTTTGGTGAGAGATTATTTTGAAAACATTAAAATAAATCCCTGAAGAAAATAATGAGAACACAACTCTATTGTCAGCCACTGAAAAATCTGTTTAGGTTAGAATCTGTAATCAAAAGGCCTTCAACATCCCATCAACAAAGAGAAGAAATTGATTGGTAGTTTAGGAATAAGCAGTCATGTTAGCCTTGAGTTCATGACATCCAGGGGAGGAAGAACTGAAAAGAATCCGATCTATGAATAGGTAGTCTTTGGTTAATGACTGCCCTGTTTAGTTACCGTTCAAACTTACGGCACTGAAAAAGTAGTTTAACAACTGGTTCTCAAACTTATGATGGTCACAGTGTCCCACGGTCATGTGATTGCCATTTGGGCACTTCACAACTGGCATGCATTTACGATGGTCGCAGCATCCCGTGGTCACATGATCACCATTTGCGAGCTTCACAGCCAGCTTCCAACAAGTAAAATCAATGGAGAATCTGGCAGTAAGTTGCAAGTCATGATCATGTGATGTTGTAGTTAATGATCCCGAGTGTTCTGCTTAACATCCACAATGAAACTGACATCATAAGTCTGGCACATGATCGCATGATGTTTCACTTAACGACCACATCGCTTAGTGATGGAATTGCCGGTCCCAATTACAGTTGTTAATTGAGGACTACCTGCACTAGACTTCAGAAGAACAGATTTTGATTAACTCAAAGAGAAAGTAGGTAGGATCCAACTGCATGAAATCATGAAGGAGAAAAGTATCCAAGGAAGATGGGAGCAGCTAATCTCATTAATATTTCCTTCAGCAAGGATATCTTCCAGCCTAAGGTTAAACAAGCTCTGGCTTGAAATTAAAGAAGTTGCACAAGCTGGGGCAAATTTTATTTTCTTTTACTCTTATGTGGTTTTCTTAGTATTTTTATTTTTTTTAAAATAATCTCTTTGACCAGTTTTTCTGTAGACATGAATAACCTACTTGAAAAGAGGAAGCAGAAGTTGATTTCCTTTTTCCTTTTTAGGTTTTTTACAGCCTGCAATTACATTGCTCTTTGCTCATGCTTTCACTTACATATAGGATTGGCCATCAGGTCAACAGGCTGCTGGTGCTTCTTAAATGCATGAAAAGAAAGAAAACCAGGAAAAGATAATAGAACATCTGAAGTTCCTGGTTTTTAAAGATTGTATAAAAGCTCAGTGTATTTCAAACATTCCATTGTCTAGGGCACTTGTGTGCAAAGCCAACAGCCAAGTGAAGAGGCCATACATGCACACGTGCACAGAGACATCCAAGGACAGTCATAGAAGCAACTGTCTCAGTCTTGCAGAGGATACTATAAAAGCTCTCACTCCTACAGACAGGTTTCCCAAAGCACCTCTTTCTTTTTCAAATGCTGTGCACACCTTTAATGACTGGTCTCTGTTGTTGTACTGGCTAAGCTGGAAAAAGCAATTCAGCCACATGTTACAAAACAACAGCTGAAATTGCCATGCTCAAAATAGTGGACCATCCTAAACAGCATTTCTAAAAACAGTCAAATTTTGTTTCACACTCAAAACAAAGCAGCATGTTTTGTAAAGGTGTGCACGAAGCAAAAAATGAGTTTAGCTCAGTGCATGGAGCAAACACATGTGGCTCAAATCTTTGACTACAGCATTCTGAGTGAGTCATAATCCAGCTGAAGAAGTGAAATCCAGATCATTCAGATTGACCCTGGTTTCATCCAAGCCAAATCTGGAGGAGTCTTAAAGGGCCTGTGCAGCAAGACTGGGGTATACCTCCCTTCTCTTGATTCCTCTGCTCAGCCTGCTGCACTTTCCTTCCTTGCCACTGCCATACACATGCACCTGCTACCCCTACTCTCTCTGCCACAACACAGCTTCCTTCCCCAGTGCTGCCTTGCAGCCACTCAGCACACCCGTTCAACTCGCCCTATTCCTCTGCTGCTTCATGCCTTCCTTCCCTGCCACCATCTCACATACCCTGAGGTATTCATCTATCCAACCCATTATCCTATCTTTCCGCTGCCATATGCCTTCCTACCCTGCTGCCACTGCCCTGCTCCACCCTAACTCTCTGCTACTGCCTGCTGTTTGCCTGACTCTTCCATGCTGTCTTCCACCCTGAAACATCTCTGCTAAAACATGCAAGCTCCAGGTCCATTCATAGAAGAAACATATATTCTTTGGTCCAACCATGAACTGTCTGATACTCTCTGATCTGTACAGGAACACTCTGTGCATGGAATGTTTTGCCCATTCCTAGAGTTCTGTTCCAATCTGAAATCAACATTCTGAAAAACACATTTTCTTTCATGCTTGGAATACTCAAAACATTTTGCACATCTCGATTTATTATTGGAGTAACAAGCAAGAGGAAGACAAGGCAGTAAATCTGTCTTTCTCTCTCAACCTTATATAAGGCCAAAAAATGAAATTTTATTAATATTTGGGTACAGCATGTTTTTTCAAACTTTAAATTTACAGTATTTACCCAATTGGGAGATGGTGTGTGTGTGTGTGTCCAAATAATTACCTGTAAATTGAGGACAATTTTTTTTACATTCACTGAGAGGAATGGAACAAGCTGTTGAAAAGAATGAGCAACAACTACAGAAACTGCTAGTGAAAAGCATCAATCCTTTTGAAAATTAGACTGGAGATTAGCCATTGATTAGGAGAGGGTGCTTTCTTGAGAGATTTAATCTTTTTTCTAAAGCACAGAAACCCTATTTCTGTATGAGTGCATGTGTGTACTTCTGTGTTTCTGTGTGTGAAAGAGAATGGTTGGTATATGCAGATGGGGTAATCAGTCAATATTATGATTTAATTCCTTATTTTAAGAAAATTAATTTTAATCAGTGGTTGTTAATGAAAGTAGATCTCATTCTACTTTGATTGTGCTGATTGTTGGAAGACTACAGTATTAATGCAATGGTATGTGGAACATCATCCATCTCTACAGTCTTAGTACTGTACCTCAAACCTCTAAACATGTAATATAGCCCAAAACCTTGTTATCAAACTATCAACCATGGCAGTTAAAAAGAACTATCAAGAACCAGAACTTTTACAGTCTCTCAGATGAAAACACATACCTTGAGCACTTTTCCTATTTTTTCTCTCTCTCTCATTTCTTTGAAGGGGCAAATATTAATGCAACAGACCCAGGCCGTGGATTCACTCCTCAAGAATGGGCGTGTTTCACAGGAAGAATAGAATCTGCATATCTTATACAGAGACTTATGGACAAGCCATGTGCTGAGCAATTTTGTGATCAGTATGTGCTTGAATGGCCAAAGATGAAGGAACTTCTTGCCAAGGCTACAGGTACAAAAACTTGCTTGCAGAAGATCTCAGAAACGTTGAGGTCCATTGTAGATTTCAGAGCTTTCCATAGCCCTGAAGAAGATGGGGTCCTCAATCACATGGTTAGAACAACAACAAGTTTAAGAAGCTCTTTTGTTGCCATAGCTTGTAGGACTGTGTGCCCTGAAAGTCCCCCTGCTGTAGGAAAACGTAGGCCAGCTGTGCAAGAAATTCTTAGGAAACAAAGAGCTAAAGAACTTCAAATTTTGGAGAATAGGGAACATTTTAATAGCTATAAGAAGTTGTTTCAGAATTCTAGAATTACATTAGTGTCCAAAAAGAAGGAACGGAGGGCCAGCCTGCAGCCTTTCACTTTAAATGTACCCCAGGTCAACATTGTGGTTCCAAGGAAAACCAGCCTGTTGCCACTGCACTTGTTAAGAAGAAGCAGTGTCCGCCCTGGGATTGTCATCCCCAGAGTCCGTATAAGTAAGGCACCTCGGCCTACTTTCCAGCCAGAGAAAGTGAGACCGAAAAGTAGTGCCAGTGATGGGACCTACCTGCAGATTCCCAAATGGAGGTATAAGGAGCTGAAGGAACAAAGGAAGAAGGCTGAAGAAGAAAAGAAAAAAGCTGAAGCTCAGAAACAGAAACAAGCGTCTCTGCAGAGAAAAAGAACTTAAGCCAAATTGCTGTTGGTACCAATAAATGGGTTGACATGGTATATCATATAAATTTAAGAAAGGGAAAATCATACTGAAGATCAAAGTTACTTTAAGAGACTTAGGGAATGCAAGGCATCTGTATGAATAATTTTAACACATGGAAAATATTATTTTTATAGAATTTTAACAACTATCCTCCTAAAAATGAGACAAAGGGCAATAGGATTAAACTCTAAGTACAGAGGCCCTGTCCTCATTCACAGTTTTCAGCAGCACTACAGTACCATGTTCTGAATGCCCTAGTCTTCTTCCTGGGGTGCAGGATAAAATCCTCACCCCATCCCCCGCCCATGGGTGAAACAGATTGAAATGGTCACAAAGTGTATTGGTATAAAAGTAGTCTTTTCCCCTCTAAGCCAATACTGTCACCCCTTAGCTTCAAGGTATGTAAAATCTGTACTACTTTCTTATTCATAATCTGAGAGGTGAGGCCAAGTGTCCTGCGGTGGATGTGATCTGGGGTGTTTCAGAGCGTTGAGAAGTATGGGCATGGCCTCTCCGCTGGTCACTTGCCAGCCTCTGATGCAGCCGTTGCTCTCCCAGCGTTTGCCCTCCCCATTAACACTTTAGTTCCTGAGTTCTTTTCCTACCCTTGCTTCTCCCTTCCCTGTTCTTTGAAATCAACTTCTTTCCAAGTTTCCAACAAGGTAGAGAGAGAACAGGTCTCTACTATCTTATCTGGGGAAGGTAAGGGGGTTTGCACAGTTTCATATTGATGATATTCTGAAATAGCATCAGAAGGATCCAATTTTTAGACGTAGGAGCTCTGCTTTTCCTTATTGCAGTGTTTACAGAATGAGGGATGCTGAATTAGCTTTTGTCCTTTGTTTGCCATGGGTGCGTCATCTTCAATCACCCACCTCCCCCTTCCCTACTTTCACACCACAAGTAAGAAAAGTGGTTGTCCAGTAGCTAGTCCGTTTCCATTCTCTCCCACTGAACCTGACTGGTTGCACACTCATGGTAAGGTTTATCTACCTCCTCCTTCTCAGGGGCTGTTTCTGTCCTGGTGTGTTCCCTTATTTCAAATTGCTTGGGGTCCCTCATTCAGATCCATCCTGTTCATGCTGCCGTGCTCTGGTGGATGAATTCCTGCATGATTGGGGTAGTGCTGAAAGGGATTTGGAGCAAAGCCAGAAGAGGAAAACCAAAAATCTTGCATATAACGAACGGTGCAGTGACAAAGTGATTAAGGCACCAGGCTAGAAAGCAGGAGACTCTGAGTTCTAGTCCCACCATAGGCGTGAAAGCTGGCTGGGTGGCTTTGGGCCAGTCACTCTCAGCCCAACTCGTCTCACAGGGTGGTTGTTGTGGGGAAAATAGGAGGAGGAAGGAGTATTAGGTACGTTCACCGCCTTGAGTTATTTATAAAAATAATAAAGTGGGATAAAAAATTTTTAAAAAATCAGGGCAACACTATTTGGTAGCAGTGGGAGAGGCAGTAGAAGAATTGGCAATGTGATGAGCAGGTTTTATGCCAACAAGGATGGATAGAAGGGTGGTTAATTCAGTAGTGGGGAAAGGCCCAGAGAGTTTGAGAAGTATCCCTGATAAATAACCGTAAAGCAATAATTGAGAAAAAGAGTAGGCTTTCAAGGGAGTATCTAGAGAGGTAGAAAAGAAGGAACAGATGACATACATTCCTTATTCAGGATATGTGAGAAGATGTTTGAGAGATTTTTAAGTATGGTGCAGGGGGTTTTTCTCCAGCAGCTTAAAATCCAGAGGATCAGCTCATTGCTTGCCAATAGAAAATAATGCTAGTCCAAAACATTTTAAAGGATATAAAAATCTCAGGGGATTTGTCAAAACAAAACTCCCATGTATAATTATGGTTTAATTTTGAGAACTAGAATTAAGGTAAACAAATGGTATCTGATGTATTTCCTACTGATGTATGGTGTTTTATTGCTGTGTTACTAATCTGAAAAAAAAAACTTTTTTAAAGTTAATATAAATTGCACTTATTTTACAATAACTTGTTACATTTCTACAAAAATCTCCCCAATTATTTTTCAATTTATGTTCAATTTAAAATTTGATCAAATTCTAGTATAAACTGAGCCCAGAAATAATTACGGTAATTGCATTTACTACTAAAAAGGTGGAATAAATAAATATATTTTCTTCAGACTTTTTTTTAAACATATATACTTAACATATGACCACCTCTTCTGCTTTCATTGCTAAACATTACAAAAAGGACTCAGATGCCTTCTTTAAATTGACTGGGTGACTTCATGAACATACAGACCCTTATGGCTTTTCTGGCAAGCAGATACGAGTGGTTTGCTGTTGCCTTGAGGATTTTACTTTCTAGGGATTTCCAGGTAGTTTCCCATCAAAATATTAACTTAGCCCTTTTAAATCAGCCAAGGTCAGCCAGGTGCTGCCACCTAGCAGGGTGAAACAGTAATGCAAGCTATTAGTTCAACCGCACTTACCTTTTCTTGCGTGTTGTTCCTACAGAAGTAAGGGATTTGCTTTAAGAACTAGGATGACAAATACCTCATTCCTCAAAATAAATGGAATTGCACAATTCGTACCAATCTGGTTCCTAGTTGAAAAATTACACTTTTCAGGTAAAAAATATCCCTTAGGGTTAACAACAAAAAATTAAGGGCAATATCTGTCAGAAGGGAGTTTCCACTGTGCAACTCATTGAACTGAAAGTACTTTACACTGTAATCCTATCCATTCCAGCTCAGAAATAAAATCCACTGAGTTCAGAGGGGAGTACTCCCTGATAGGATTACAGCCATAGTTAATACATGCCTGTTCCACGTATGCAAGGCTATCACAAAGTGCCTGCTTGCACTTCTTCATCAATTCTGTGCCAGCTAAAACTACTACTCATATAACAAGCAAGCAAAATACACTAATTTTTAATGGCATGCTATAAAGAGATGGAAAACATTTTGAAACAGGGATTGTTTTTTTAATTAGCAGATGAGAGTTTAGATGCCTGTAGCAGAACTGTTCTCTGATGAGCTCTGACGTAAAAGGTACATTTTCTTCAGAGCCAATATAACATACTTCTGTATAAAATCACAAAGTCATCTTCCCCCAAATCAATCCACTCCAATGAAGGGGTACATGAATTTGCAATTGAATTATTTTGTAAAGGACAAATTTGCTTGAAATGCACCACTGTATTCACTCAGGGATGAAGTTCA